CACAATATTTTTTGCCTTAGCTAATAGATTATATTGATACTTTTTTTAAAAAAGGTTTAAAACGAGCTGAAAAATTTCATTAAAAGTGAATTTTTAAAGAAGACATCTGTTGATTAATAAGTAACATTAATCATGGTACTCTAATTTTAAGTTGTCATTAACCAAGTAAAAACAAGCCTCCTATTTTGCCTCACATCTGAAAATAGCTATAGAATTTGGCAAAATAAATCACACTTTTGTATTGAGGGCATCTTTTTCCCATAGTATTATGGACTAGTATTAGTCCTCCTCCCTTGTTTTCCATTAAAATGTTATTTATTCTTCTCTAGTACTCACCAAAGTTCCATTTTCCCCTTCAAATTATCCTTAGAGGGAGGCGAAATTGAGGTTTGTGTACAACATATCTGCATAATAGGTCTCAGGTTAATTAATGAACATGGATTCAAATTAACACTCATTTGTAAAATTTATGACATCAGTGTTTGGATACATGACAAATTTATCATAGATTTAATTGAAAAAACCAAGCCTGTTGTGCTCATTAATATGTAACTAAGTTATAAGGAGAACTATTAAGTATAGTAGCTATTTAGCCATATATTGCCATTTAATACATCACATACTATATACTAAGGATTCACTATGATTTTGTGGGGAACACAATTAAGCTCAAGTTAACCTAAGCATGAATGGAGAATGACTAAGATTTATACAAAACTTTATATATTCTTAACATTTTTTCATTAAAAAAAAAAAATGTTCCATGTTAAGGGGAATAAAATTCCTCTGGGAATGTGGCTGTATCGAACAACCTTAATAAAATACAGACCTATAGCCTCAGTACCATATAGGTTATTTGGTTTGGTTTGTGATGGATTGAGTTGGGTTAGGTGTTTTGTCTTTTAAATTGGTAGTAAGATCGAAATGATATCATACATGAATATAAATGTATGGAATAAAATTAAAAAGAAATAAGATAAACCTTTTTAGAGATCATTAAAATATATACACTGTTTTAGTCATTTATGCAAACAATAACATTTGGTTCGTTAGTTTTTTTTATAATACTGTCTCTTTTCAGTAAACATTAATTTAAGAAAAATTGTGGAAGAAACATGTGTTTTAGAAAAATATCTGCAATTTATCATCTGATAATAAACTAATAAACATAGACTCTAACTCAATTCAGAGCCAGTGATTTTATTATATGTATTTTTTAATTATAGGAAGATTTTACTGTGTTTTTAAAAATTAATCAAATATACTTTTTGGTAAATATAGTTTATTAACTAAGAAAACTAAGGAAAAAAATTTGATTTTAAGATTGCGCAAATATGGGAAAATGCAGAGATTAGCTGACTTGATTTGATTATAGAACAATATTATAATCCTAATTAGATTAGACATGAACAAATACAAACCTGGCTTTATTGGGAACACTTCTATTTAAATCTGAATTGCAACAGAATGTATAAAAATGTATTTCTTGTTATTTAAATTGATTTTATTGATTTAAATATCACATATTTAATCCATAAATTCTTTTTTTCTAAGTCATCTGAGTTCAATATTTATAGTCCAAATTCCACTATTAAATGTATTCTACCAATTATTCATTGACTTTTACAATAATTAAGACCATATATCTTTAAAGTAACATACCAACATGTAGGTAGGTAAACAAAAATTAAGGTGTGAAAACTATCCAGATACTTTGAGTTGTATAACTGCTATTGATGTAGAAATTGGGCAAGAATGCTTTTCTATGTGATTAAGTGGATATATGATTGATATATCTGGTTAGCATGCAGATCTAATCTTATATTTCTAGTAAGCTGTGACCTTTTTTTCCCACCTAATTACATCAGAACATTTTCAGATATTAAATGAGAGGATTTCTCTAAATTAATAGTGCAGCATGATACAAGTATATTTGGAGAAAAAGAGAGATTTCCTGAGAAAATAGCCTTTATAGTCACCCAGACCCAGATCCCAAGTAATGTTTGAAATAGCTGTGTACTCATTGTCCATTTTAAGTGTAATCTTTGGAATCCTGTTTGAGTCAAGAACTAAGAGGTGCTACGAACTTGATTCTCTAAAAGTGTCTTTTATGAACACCATTGCAATGACAGAGCTTGTGTTTATGGGTTAAAAACCTCTCAGAATCCTTAACAAAGATAAGATAAAGAATAAAGCTAAAGACATGCTCTTTTGAACATCTTTGTTTCCTGAAAAGCTGACACCGTAATCATTATGTTTCTAAAAATAAAATTATTTTTCAAGCTACATCCGAGCTTCTATATAGAGTATGATAAAATTTTGTTTAGTGAATACATATTTTGATCCCGTGAAAATTATTTTGTTAATATTTCCTATGAAGGTCTAAGACAATCTTTAAAAACTAAATTATTATCAAACTTTAATGATGTGGATAAAAATTGATAGCAACATATTGTTATAATAGTTCCAAATACAATATAAATTAGAACTACAGGACAATACTATGGTATAAAATTCAGTTGGTTTTTACGTCTTTATCAAAGAATTTTTCCACTTTAACATAAATCATATAAAATAATCATTTTTTTCTAATATTATTTTGATATTTATACTTAAATAAACTGCTGTTACTCATGAAAAGAATAGTGTAACATATACAGGTGAATGTAAAGGCTCTCATAAATATTCTAGGGTGTCGACTTCATTTAAATCTCGTCATATGCTAAGAATCACAGGCAAGTAAAGCACATACATCTTAATTATTAATTTAAAATCATTTTAAAAATTACAATCCAAGTTCTAATTTCTTTTTATTTTTCTTTTATTCTTTTTAAAAATGGGTGAATACTTTATATATTCTAAAAATATACATATTTTAACTTACAAAATATTTGGCATACGCTAAGATATGATAGGAAAAAAAGGACAGCTTGTAACTATAACCAAAGGCATATTTCTTTTACATAATTGAATGTGTCAGGTAAAACATATTTCAACTCACATTATTTGTGTAATTTCTCTATTCTATGTTTCAGTTTTCGTATTTAGAACTGGCTGCTGACTCAGTGCCTTGGTTTTAGGATGCTACATGGAAATATCATCTAAAAAGTTAGTTAATTTCTTAATGGCTGAAAGCAGTCATAGATACTCTGACATTCTCTTATTAAATGAACCAAATTTTAGAATATAATAAAATAAACTCTTAATTCAAACTTCTAGTGATTTACTCGAATAATAAACCTTTGCCTAATCACCCTCAGCGTTCATTGCCTAGTGTTTTTCAACAGTATTATTTGAAAAGCAGGATTATAAGCCATATTATTGGTATAGTTATGAATAGCTAATTAAATTATGCAAAAAATAGTGTTTTTTTTTTGGCTAGCAATTAAATACAGATTAGATAAGTTTGGGGAGTTCCTTATTATAAAATATATTATTTTGGTATATCTTTCTAAGAAAATAATCTAAATTAAAAATAAAATTAATTTATTTCTAACCTACAACATTGGGTTAAGGGTATAAATATGTTCTTTCCAGTTCCTCTCCCAATTATCTAATGGCTGTTTACAAAGTCACATATTATAGTCCTTTTCCCATTTCCACACGTGTCAGGGAACTCAATATAATTAAAGATTGAAAGAGGATAGGAAATCAAACACAATATTTTCAAAGAACCACAAATGTAAGAATTATTTTAAGTTTCCATTATATTGAATACCCAGTAGAGAGCTACCAAGGAGTTATTCAGGATGAGTAACCAGCCAACTATTAATACACCAGATTATGGGTGATTAAGTACAGGATGCTCCCATTTGAAGGAAGTCCTGCAGAGTACATATAATTTCATTTAGGTAAGAAAATATATTATTTAGACATTGTGTCAATCAACATAATTTGAGTTCAAATCTGACATTTAGTTTCCTTTAGCAACAAATCTGTGATTTCTTTATATCCACAGTTATTTAAGTAGACACTACTTTCTTAAATTGTCTAGGACAGTCTGTACTGTTGGAAGGATCATTAGCAGATGTTTTAGCTCAACATTTCAGTAAGTTATATTTTGGAAATTCTTCCTCTTTTTTAAATACATACTTTAATTTCTAGTTTAATGATCCGATATACTTCTTTGGGAACCTCTGTTACGTTTCTCTGGCCACAGATATCTCTCTTATCACACCGTCCCCCAAAAGCTTGTAGAGGGATTCCAGACAAGTTAAAGTAACACATGCTATTAGCTAAAGGGTTTTGAAATTAAGAATTAATATAACAATCTCTACGTTTTCTCAATCCTAGCTGTAATTTTTTCTTTTAAGTTCACCCCATTATCCAGTACAGTGAAAACAGTTCAGGGTTATCAAAAGAGAGTCTTAAACACATCTGGCAACAATGAACAATGAAAATTCCATTAGTTCAACAGAGATATATGTGTATATAGGGGTGAAAGACAAATAGAAGGCAAATATAATGAATCCAAAGTGATTACTTTCCTTTTAACTCTCTATTGTGTTCAACCAGAGTGAGTGAGACTCCGAGACTCCAAAAGTAGATATTCTTTCATCCCTTTCGTAGAATACTGATTCTATGGAAAGTTTAAAGACCCTTCCGGGGGGGGGCGGGCAGGGGGCGCTGCTACAAGGCTTCCCAGGTGTTAAGATTAAAGCTTAGCTTTAATAATAAGGCTAATTTAAAAAGACATTGTTCCCTGATTAAGGTATTTGCTCAGAAGTATGCACTATAATCTATTTAGATTTTTATTGCTTCTGAAATCTATTTTCTAGACCACCACTGTAAATAATGGTGTCTAGTAGTAATAGATTTAATGTGCATTTTGGGCTAATATGCTGTGTTATAGTCCCCTAACATGTGAAATAAATGAGAATATGTTTCAACATTATGTCACTAATGCAATGTCACTAAATAAATTGAATGGTAGAAACGCTGTTAATCTGCATGAGAATACTCCCCAAAATAAATATATCCAAACTGAATAATGCACTTACCCAGCACAGCTCCTAAAGGAATTCTTGGTGAAATAGTCTTAGGATGGAATTAGATTTTCTGAGAGTCCGTGGAAGAGATTCCCCCTAGGCAAGGTGGGGAAGAGTGAAAGCCTTGCAATGTGATCCTGCAGGCAGAGTGAGTGAGATCCAGTTAGCAGAGCTTGATGATCCTAAAGCAGAAGGTGACACTCTGCTGGGGAGAGAGGAGTTGTTCTGAGTAGATTGGAAGTGTTGTCAGATTGTAAGAGATCAGCAGTAGAAGGGAAACATCAGAGCTTCCTGTTACATCACTCTGACCCCGCCTGCAGTTAGTGTTAGGTTACTTTCTTTCTCAAATAGCACACCCTAGGAAAGCAAGTACTCCTTTCTTATTCTGAGACAAGAGCAAGAAGCAGCCTGAACAGAGATCATATGCTGTATGGATACATTGTTACCAGCAAAGGCTGGCTGGCTTTCACCTTGACTGAGTTATGTTAGAACTTGCCAAAGAGAGCTGCCTGTTATTTGAAGGAAGTCTGAATATAATATTCTGCTCAACAAATCAAAAGAGTTGGGGAGGTGGGTGCGTGCTTGTGTGTGTGTGTGTGTTTTGAATTATTGTTTACAAAGCATTCATGGAGAAAAATACTATCTAACGTGTTTCTTCTTAAATGACCACAGAAAAATAATAACAGCATTCATCACAATTAATTCTGTGATCTAATCCTTATTAAGTTGGAACTCTGATAATTTGATGCTGTTTCCCAATCAGTTTTCCACAATTAGATCAAGAAACTTTATCCTGTAGCTTTTGTTTGTTTGTTTTTCTGTGTTGTTTAATGATATAAGCATATGAGTATGTATGTGTCATAAACAAAGCCTGTGTGTGTGTAATATTTTTTCAGACTATATATTTAAGTGTATATATAACCTTTTAAGAGCATGTCAGTAGTTTTAAATAATTACACATATTTTTAATATTTGACTTATTTTTTTCACTTATAAAATAATTTATACTATAACATTTGTACCTTGAAGTAGGCTTGAAGAAAATGCAGATATTTTAAATATATAATGTGAAATATATAACATACTTTAGTCTAATTTTTTAGAAAAAATTTTACTCAAAAAGATAATTTTTATGTCAAAAACACATCCTGAATGTGTTTAATAAATCACTGAAAAGGACCAGGGAAGAAAGGTGTAAATGTGAAATGCATTTGTCATTTTTGAGAATATGATAAATGTGTAAGATGAAATAATAATTACATTATAATTCCTGAAACTTACATGGCACTAAAGATCACTTAATTTCTCCAGACTTAAATTTTCTCAACTGTAAAATAGAAGAGCTGGGTCAAATAATACATAAAACCCCTAATATCACTAACACTCTGAATTAATCAGTTTTATAAATTTGGAAATAGATAAGATATTGTGATGATCATTCAATTCTTAGTAAATTTGAGATTGCAAACACTGGGAAATAGGTAAGTCACTGCAATTCAGGGGGGGAAGAAAAAGAGATGCCAATACCCCTTGTAGACTAACAAAGGAGGACAGGGCAATATACATTGAAGGGATATCTTGTTTCTGAAGTTCATGCTCCTGCCACTTTTCATTTTTATTGCCTGGGTCCATAGAAGAAAATTTTTACACAATCATTGATTTTCAGAGCAATAGGACCAAGGTCAGTAAAAAAAAAAAAAAAAAAAAATATATATATATATATAAGGAATAAAATATATGCTAATTTCTATCAATTATAGTTAAGAGAAACATTTATAAGAAATTGAGTTACACAGATTTTTGGGGCGGGGGGAGTAGAAAATAACCAAAGGAGTTAAACTGACAAGTTATAGAATATTGTGTTTCCAGATAAGGGTTGTTTTTGCCTCTCTTTGGGGGACTGCTGAGCTGTACTTCTTTTTGAGCCTTTAGTCCATAGGAAAAGAAAAAGTCAGTGTGGCAAACACACACACACACACACACACACACATTCACACACATCATGACCCTTTAATCAGAAAAATAGCATGGATGCTGAACTCTGCTATGGAGGTAGCGTAGTGTTTAAGGAACCACTAAGAAAGAAGTAGAAAGCACTGAAATTGGACCAAGAGACATGAAATCCCAGTCCTGATTTCCTGTGTAACCTTTACCAAAAACTTTGTACGTCTTGGTATCCACATCTTAAAATTCAGGGCAGAATCGACTGCTAGAATTTTAATGTCTGAATTATCAGAGTCTGTGTCTTCTTATTTCTTTTGCTTAGCATAATTTCTGACCCTTGGAAAGAGAACTATCTGTATTTTTTTTTAATTTAATGGAATTACAAAAAACTAACACTTCCCAGTAAGCCAGTGAGAGCACTCATATTTTTATTTTCCCAAGGATTCATCAATTTCATTTGCCCAACACTGGTAAAAGTCTAGTAAATTGAAAATCCGTGCTTTTAATTTATGTCATAAAACTATTAATTCAAGGCTTTCTCTCCCCTACTGTATATCAACTGCTATTCTAAAAGGGAAGGCTAATGCAGTGACAATGTTTATACTTAAATTATTGAGCAGACACCTAGGCACATGGTGATAGTTCAAGAAGACTCTTGGAAAATTTTTTGTCAGCATCACTTACAAGCTTTATTAGAAATAATAGGTTTAAAAACCCCACTAATCGTATCCTTACGGCATTTTACAATCCCCAGAAGAAGAAAATGGTGTGAGGACTTCCAGGAAGCCGCTCAGGTATGTCAAGTTATGAAGGAACAGGTAAAAGACTTCTCAAAGACATACTGAAACATGATGACAAATATTTAGAAAACTTCAGCAGAACAAAATAAAAATATTTCCATAACAGATGGGGTGATTCCAAGCCAGTATGTTGTTGTTGTTAGGTGCCATCGAGTCAGTTCTGACTCATAGCGACCCTAGGTACCGCAGAACGAAACACTGCCTGGTCCTGCGCCATGCTCACAATCGTTATTCTTGAGCCTATTGTTGCAGCCACTGTGTCAATCCATCTCACCGAGGGTCGTCCTCTTTTTCGCTGACCCTCTACTTTACCAACCATGATATCCTTCTCCAGGGACTGAACCCTCCTGACAACACGTCCAAAGTATGTCAGATATAGTCTCGCCATCCTTGCCTCTAAGGAGCATTCTGGCTCTACTTCTTTCAAGCCAATGTGGCATTTATTAATACATTAATTCAACTTATGTATGATATATATATATGTATTCATATTTTAATCTTTTTCCAGAACATATTAAAGCCACTTGCGACCATTTAGTAAGTAATGCTCAAGCCTGTATTTTGAGTTAGGTACTGTGCTGGTTGTGTTGGGGAGTCGAGGAAGAATAGGATGTGCCCTGCTTTCTAGGCATTTACAGCACAGATTGTCTAGCACATGAGGAATCAAGTGCCATATTCTCTCCAATTAGCCAACGCAGAGTCTAGATGTAAGTTATTCAATAAGTTTTCTGTAGAAGTGAAGAAGGGTATATAACTGCAGAATGATATATAAAATGATAGTCACACTTGTCCATTTCAGAACCCTGCGTTCAGCAATGATTATATGTACCTAGAGGTAGATTTGTGGTCTCATGTAAATCTCACAAGCACCATAACCAAAAAAACCAAGCACGTTGCCATCAAATCGACTCTGACTTATAGTGACCCTATAGGACAGAGTAGCGCTGCCTCATAGGGTTTCCAAGGAGCAGCTGATGGATCCGAACTGCTGACCATTTGATTACCAGCCAAACTCTTAACCACATAGTTCCGCAATAATGAGTACTGATTATCATGTGAAATGCACTTGGACTCACACTCCAGAAGAAGCTAACTCAAAAGTCTCGGGATTATTATTTAGGTTGACCAACTTAGTAAAATTAGACCAAAAATGTGGTTTGAAAAATTTAGTTCTCTAGTGAATGAACTGACCACTTATTTTGAATCCATGTGGATACTGCCTAGGAACATAGTTCTGTCACAAAAACAAAATGAAACAGAACACTTTCACATGAAACATATAGAGGATGGAACTTGCTTGGTGAGAGGGCAAAAACAGAGGAACTTTTCCAGTTATTATATTGAGAGTTAATTATTTCTATGTGTTCATAATTGTCTGAAAGTCATTATCTACATCCAAGGATAATTTACTCAGGCAGTAAAATTATGTATACTCTGCTTTATTAACAAAATGTACCAATAATCTGAGAAGAAACAAATAATTCTTAGAATCTTTACAATAAAATGAACATTCTTCTTGCAAGGTAATTAGTCGATCTGACTTTTTATTATTGTACCAAGAAATCATTGCCAGCATTTTACAAGTTATTTCCCAAAGCAAAGCAAAATAAATTGCATTTATTAAAAAGACCTGGGTCCAATGGCAGAGTTATTGAGACTGAACATGTTGTTTTCCAATAAATTATCTATTATTAAAACCAATGAGCTGATTTTTCACTCTAATTGTACGCATATTTTAAGTTATCATCTTCAGGGAAATCATAATGTTGTTTTAAAAATATTCTTGATGAATAAAAATTTGAAAACAGTGGAAAACCATTTGAATTTGAAATTGGTCATTCCATGAGATCCCTATTTAGATAAATAAACCTGGTTTACTCATTTATATATACTATTTTTCTTAGTATTTCATAATTTGCTTTCCCAAAAGAGTTAAATATCATATAAAAGAATTGACAAAAAAATCTGCCTATTCTTTTTATCAACTCTTGTTTAAGTCTGGTGGATCTGGAACTTCAAGGAAACTTGGTATTTACTTGCAGGTGTTCTTGAGAATTTAAGCCCAAAAGAAAAGGAGTGTCTGTTGCTGGAATAAACAACTCACACTGGCAAATAAAATATGTCATGGATTAATTAAAATGGATCTTTATGTACAAAGAGTTAGAAATGCATTCTTAAAATGAAGGTCCAAAATGAGCTTTCTGAAGGTAAACATCCTTAAGTTAGCGATCATACGTTCTAGTTATGGCAGTCCCAGTTTATACTTTCACTCTCAAAAGTGTCCTGGTTTGGATGATAAATAATATATGGTCCCCCTAGCCATACTTACCTATACTGCACTTACAACCAAAAAAAAAACAAAAAACAAACCAAAAAAAACCGGAGCCCTTGCCATCAAGTCTATTCTACTCATATTGACCCTATAGGACAGAGTAGAACTACTGCGTAGTGTTTCCAAGGGGCGGCTGATGGATTCAAACTGCCGACATTTTGGTTAGCAGTGGAGCTCTAAACCACTACTCCACCAGGGTTCAACTGCACTCACAAGTGGTCCTTAAATACTGAGAGTGGGTGAGTGAATGAGTGAGTGAGTGAATGATTCATTTGGGAAACTAGATCCTCTTTTCCCAGAAGAGTTTAAAA